TTTTTCCTGAAGCCTGAATGGGAAATGCGTTTTTAACAGATTTAATCAATACACCAACCTACATTAAAAAAATAAATAAACCCACACAATGAATAAAAAGCAAAAGGCTAATCAATAGCCAGCACTGCAGCTTAACAGCCACTCCAGCAGAAAACTGTCTGAAAAGGTGTTTCACACTCCACTATCTGCACGATCCACAGCTGCTTGCTATTGATTTGTTGTGGGCAAAGAACATCTATTATCACATGCCAGTGTGAACCTGGCAATACCTCCAACAAGCAGCCTGCAATGTACGACTAGCAGGGTAGCACAGTGTAGCTGGTTGCCGAGGGTGGGCCAAGGACCCACATCTATTCCCTTTTCTTCCCACAAAGCCATTATGAACACCCAATTTCTAAACTCAGAAACTTAAAGTGTGTTAAAGACTCACGTGCCACAAACTGTTCCACATGTGCTTCTCCAGGGCACAGAAGCAGTAACAAGACCCCAAAATTGTATGCAACTCAAAACAGTTGGCACGGACATGGTAAAAGGCAACAATGTTGTTAAGGATAGATATGAGGTGTTTAAAACTATTTTCACAACGTAGCTAAAAATGACAACCCTTTTGTATATTTGTGGGTGTATGTAGGCAAGTTGGATTTTACATAATGTTTTTTGATGTTACGAAGGAGAGAGGAACTCAACAGCAGACTGCCAATAGGAGGGGCCTTGCCACACAATATGGGAAAGGGATTCTTGATTCACCTAATGGTGAAATGTCTACAATGTGCTAGATTTACCCAGGCTCTCAGTCCTCATTTAAAATACCAGTAAGAACTCAATACCCAAGAAGAATGTCCCTATAAGAATCTTTGTAAGATTCCATTTCTGTTTTTGTCCTTAAAATGTGGTCCAACACACGTGTCATTAGGTTGATTTTCAAGTGGTACCCACTGTCTGAGAAGTCAATCCCCTTAGTTACAAATTTTTCAAAAGAACTGAAGATTATCTTTGGAAAATATTACTTACGCATCCTTCCGTGTATTTTATTGGATGCTACATTAACTCAAAATTGAATCTGGGATGATTAGGTCCATTTTAATATCAAAACAGCCCTAAAAGTCAACCTAAAAGAAAGAAATTCCCCATGACTTTATCATTATACAAAGTTGTGGAAGGTCATATCTAAAACTATGCAAGACAATTAATAAATCAACTACTTTTGGGTTTCCAGTCAGATGGAATTTTTTTTCTATCCCATACAAGGGCATCACACTTACCCAACAATGTATGAGCTCCAGAGAATATGGGTCACACCTTCACTACCACCATGTCAGCTCTGCACAGCTATCTTTATAAGAGTGAACCCGGAATTCACCTTACTGCCTCCATCAATCCACCATGCTTTCACAAAAAATGACAGAATAAAGTGAAATTGTCCAGGCTTGGTCTATTCATACTAAGTGAGATGAAGTTTTACAATGTACACTCCATTAATGGTGACACTATCTATGTAACAGCACCTTAAAATTGTCAAGCAAACATCATGTTAGGCAAACAGGCAAGAAAAAAACGAAAGTCATAAGTAACAGAACCAATGCTAGAAGGACAGACCCTAAAATGCAGACATTTTTTAGAACCTTACAAATCATGATATAATCAACTTTTTTACACATGATGGACTAAGTACCTCATTTTGGAAAACATGAAACCTAGCCATTGCTCTGTTGAGCAAATTTCTATTCTTGGATGTACAGTATAAATTGAGATGTTTTCATTTCATTGAGGATCAATCTGTTGCCCTGAGAAACTGCTCAGGGAAAATGAGACATTCAAAACTCTTTCCCCCAAAATGCTTTTTGCCATGAGATTTCATCTCTAACCTATTCAAATTTTAAGGGATAAAATTTATTTGAGATAAATACAACATTCTACAGAGTATTCTCTTCCCGAGAATTAGGTAAAGGCCATATTTCCTTGATGGGCACTCCACTTATAATGCCATGAGCCATTTCTGTCATTGAGGTCAAGGGCAAGCTACTTGTGGAATGCATGTTACCAAAGCAAAATCACATAGAGTCATTAAGACTTCTGTGTTCTTCCATATGACTCAATATGATTTTGTCTTTTCCTTCATCCTCCTCCTTCTTCCATTAGTGTATTTTATCCCTCCTTCTTTTTTGCAATTCCCCACTCCGCTTTTGCCCATGGTAAGAATGAGCCTGTTCAATTCTGATGGTAACTAACACTCAACTCCTGATGCAAGCTAATCTACCAAAAATGTATCAGCAAAGATAAGCACATAGAATATCAAACAGGTAACTTCATGTTCAAGATGTTTGTGAGATGAAACAGCAAATTACAACCCAAAGGTTCAAGGTTGATATAGAAAATAATGGCCTATAATACAGTGAGACTGATTTTCTAGGTGGAACAAACTGGCTCTGATGATATTTCTAAAAGAGAAGTTCCCCCAAATACCTTGAATACCAATCACTGGATACAGCATCATCCACTTTAACAGTTTTAGGCACCCTGTCATTTGGATATATTTGGTTGGATTTCATTGAAAATATATACCCAAACTTTGATGTCACATACTGTATGTCTGAATTCTATATATTTATCACACTCCACAATTAAGATGTACTTGCATCATTTCCATATAGCTAACCAATCACAGAAGCCCTGGTCCACTCTGAAGGAAGAGACTAGGCAAGCAGACTGTTAGCGACTTGGGATCTTAGGTCTTCCACAATCAAAAGATTCAACTGCATCATTCATAGCATACTATTTGAAATATATTACCCTAAGCCTGGATATCTGAGAAACATTTTTGAAGCATATGATTTTGCTGCCACAAAAGAAAGCTGACATTTTCCCAATCTTGGTTAGAGTACTTCATTATATACCAACAAATTGTCTAAGTCAGATAATCTGATCATCCGCATCCTGAACTGAGACACAATCTGCTCTTGATAAAATCAGAAGCAATCACAGAAAGCTAGAAGGAATTCTAGTTGATTTTTACCAGTAAACAATACCTGGTCGCAGGTAACAGAGAGGAATGTGTCAATGACAGAAAAATACATACATACCTTCTGAAGATTGTACATATTTACATAATTAGAATAACTTACCTTTCTGCCTTTCCTGTGTGGAGAGTATCTTCCTGACCATTTTCTACCCAGAGTGGGGTGTATTGTGTGATGAGGAATAAACTTGTGAGGGTAAAGCAGTATTATGCCATCATTTATAGAAAAAAAGCCTTCCTAGTGAGTGCTATGCAGACAAACTGAAGGAAAAAGAAGGAACATACAGCACAATTCCCCGGGTACTCCGGATGAGTCCATAACCGCCTGCTTCAGAGTGAAACAATATTTCCAAATCACAAATACAGAAACAAGATTTCTGTAATACCGAAATACTTGGCAAGAGAAATCTTATGCCAAAACTTTCTGTAGACATTTGTGTCCCTTCCATGACAAATATAGAGGCATATGCTTACACATTTAGATGAATGGAGATCACATAATTTTCTCCCTACACTGACAAATTTCCAACTTGTTTCTCCTTAGCGTATCTTAAAAGAATGAAAGAACATATGGAGCAAAAGGCTATTGAGAAAATGGAAACAAGAACTACAAGATATCACTGTACACATGAAAAAAGTTGAAAAATAAGGAATCAAGGAAAACCAAATAGACATGAAGGACACAGCATTGTAATTGGTGCCTGCTCCCATGTGGGCAAACTATAACATGACTTTACTATTTGTTCAGATAACATCACACATCTCTTTTATAAATCCAAGAGGTCAAATGAATTTAGATTGTAAAACAAACTTCTCACGTGAAGGCTGCATTTAGAAAGTCGGAAGATCAAGCAGGACCCACTACATGAGGGCTTTTCAAAAAATTCTCTTTGCAATAGGTGTTCAGAAATTTTAACTGTTTGTTTGTCTTTAAAATGGCCATGTTAAGAAAATAACATGAGAAGGGAGTGGAGACCCAGGTTATAGATGCCCACGGCATTCAAATATCTCCACCATTAGTGCTAGAATCACCTTCATGAAATCAATCATTTATTAGAACTAAATCATTTGATGCGCCTGCAGCACCACTAGTGGACAAAAATAACAATCACAATGCTCTCTTCCAATACAAACCAAATACACAGATATATACACATAAAACGTACTCACAAAATAGAAAGGTATAAACAGAACAGCTGTGTATATATGAACCAAATAGATACCAATACATTTAGTTAGTGGGAATCTTTGCTTTACACTTGAAAAAACCGCAAGAACACTTTAAACTTTTCTAATTAAAAAAAATAATAAACTCTTGGCCGGGCGCAGTGGCTCACGCCTGTAATCCTAGCTCTCTGGGAGGCCGAGGCGGGCAGATTGTTTGAGCTCAGGAGCTCGAAACCAGCCTGAGCAAGAGCGAGACCCCGTCTCTACTAAAAATAGAAAGAAATTAATCGGACAGCTAAAAATATATAGAAAAAATTAGCCGGGCATGGTGGCTCATGCCTGTAGTCCCAGCTACTCGGGAGGCTGAGGCAGGAGGATTGCTTGAGCCCAGGAGTTTGAGGTTGCTGTGAGCTGGGATGACACCACGGCACTCTAGCCCAGGCAACACAGTGAGACTCTGTCTCAAAAAAAAAAATAATAATAATAATAATAAACTCTGAATGTCTTTGTTATTTAGAGGGCTTAAGAAGTTCTGTACACTTAGACTTCTTGAGAAAATAGCTACATTGCTTAAATAGCCTCTGTTCAGGGCCATGCGAATAAGGAAAGTCTCAAAATTGCTATCCAGATGATTTAATTAATGGAGAACTGAACCTCTTCCAATAAGAATATTGCCTGAATTGTTTTTGATTGTTTCTCAGTCACAAGTATTTATTCTAATCTAAAGAAAAAACTTAGGAGATAAGCAAATGGGAGAATATATAATAATAACAAGCAAGAAATGTCTCTTTGCTCTTCTCATAAAAGCACTAGCCCTTCATTTTCCAAGTTCTTGAGGGAGATTATTACTTATAAATTTTTCAGAAAAGCCATCTTTTTCCATAATGTCCCCTAAGGTTTCTCCAAACCTCTGAACATCTTGAAAAAGTTCTAGTAGGAAAAGGTTGCTGTACTTACGATCATTGCACTGGTTCCCAGAATAAGAGGTCATAGAACAGTCACAGGTGAAGCCTTCCCACTGCTGCATGCAGACGCCCTGGTTGGCACATGAATCTTCCTGACAGGTAGTACTGGGTCCTAGGAAAGCACAAGAAGAGAGGGAAGAAAAAAAAGAGAAAAGAAATGTTAAAAATCAGTCAAATTCAAAGAAATCACCTGAATTTACCATTCTCATGCCCCTAAACATTCAAAGACACAACCACCAATCTCATGCAACAAGAGTTCAGCATACACAAAAAATGACAGCAATACACACTTAGCCACAAAGTATCAACAGATATGCACAGAAGGGAGAGGGCTGAACACGTTGTTCTTCCTTAGGCAGATTTTGCAAAAGAGCTTCAATCTCTACCATTCAACTAGAAAGATATCTCATTTGGATCATGGTCTTTCTTAACGTATAATGGTAAAGCAGAAAAAAAAATGCATTCCCATGATTCTTAAGAATTAAGGTACAATGTTTTATCCTGAAAACAAAAGTCCCTGTGTCTATTTTGTAACATTAAAAAGATGTTTGATGATGTTGATAATGATGCGTAAGAGAAAGAGGAGGAGGAGGAGGAGAAAGAGGAAAGTGTAGCAGCCAGCATGTATTATTTTGCAGGTGAAAAGCAGTGGAGACTAAGCAATTTATCTACATTATCTTATTGAGCTCTCTAGGGACTCTAAGTGGTTACTGTGATTACCTCCATTTCAGAGATTAAAAAAATAACTGAGCTCAGAAAGGTAAAATAATTTACCCGAGGTCACACATTTGGTAATTAAAGGATGCTGATGTCCTGCTTATGTAGACTAACCATGTTCTTGACCACATCAGTGGCTCTCAAACTGTAGTCCTCAGACCAGCAACACCTGGGAATTTGTTAGAAATGCAAACAATTGGGTCTTGTCTCATACTCACTGAATAGGAAACTTTGAGGGGAGGCATAAATCTGTTTACAGGCTTCCAGAAAATTATGAAGCAGCCTAAAGTTTTAGAATCATTGCAGTACCCCCCATTGCTACACTAGGTACTTTAAAAGTGGATTCTCTTAAATGGAGTGTGCATACACCAGAGGATGCAAAAGAGAATTATTTGAGATATAAAAACAAAGTATTAGAAATTGTATTCCTTTTTTCATTTTATTCTTTATTATTTCTATTTTTGTGTGTCTTTCATATGCTAATAATATGTAAGAGTAATGACACACATATCTAATTTATAAATAAGGATACCTATTTTGGAGGATTCTCAAAATCTTTTACTGATAGGAACAGGTAACCAAAAACAGGTTGATGATCTCTGTTTTACCGAAGGCCATTAACATCCCTCTTTAGGTCAGCCTGGTGCTTCTCTACCATCATTCTTTCTATTTTACTGTTATTTCCTGCCTTAGCTTTGGGATTAAATATAAACCTATACCTTTAGAATTATCTGAGCTAACAGCAAATATCTTAACATTGAAGATAACTCCATGAATTTCCCTGAGAACCTCAGTAAAGGCAGTGAGTCCTTTGACTCAGCAAATATATTAAGAACTAATGCATAAAAGCACTTGACAGAGTAAAAAATATAACCATTGCAATAACTGCATATTTCAAAATTTCCAAGCAAAGCCTCACACAGGCACAGAATATTGAAAAGTAAGAACACAGGGTCCTAAGGATGCACGTTCAAAAGACATACATGATTACAAAGGTTCATCTCCTGGTGACAAGACATTTTGTATTTATTCACGAAGGGTGGAAGCAGTACAGGCTATCATGCATAAGACACAGCTATTAGGATATGACATAAGAAAGTTCAAGACAATTACTAACACTGGGGGACAGTGCTGCTACTGGGTTCCTGTAGTTCTCATTTGCCATGTGGTTCCCCCATGTAGAGATGAAAGGAGGTACATGGTCATGTTCTCAGTGGGTCTTAAACTTGAGCATTGTGTCCTACAGGTTTCATTAACAATGGCAAATCAGGACAGCTTCTTTCAAAGGATAAAAGCTTCTGAGAAGTCTGCAGGGGCTCCCTGACCAAACAGCTCTCACCAGACAATGGGCTAGTAATTCAATTGTACTCAACAATCAGAAACACATGGAAGGTTTTACCTTGAAAGGCAGCAAAACAGCAAAAACTTTGGGAAAACACAGTAATTCTCTGCATGTTGATTGAACCTGAAGACAAAAGCTTTTCCATGCCTTTCCCCTCCCTTCTAACTTTCAAATTTTAAACATTTTCTAAGATCCAGCCTGAATGCCTTCCCCAGATGAACCATTCCTCAGTAACTTCAAGCAATAATTCTTCCCCTTCTTAGTGGCCACAGGAAGTATTATACTTCTCCCCCTTCTTAGTAAGTAGCCATAGCAATTATTATCTGCTTCATTGACTTTTAAATATGATAACATTCAATTTAGCACTTTATTACACATATCTTCTGCTTATATAATCCTCTAATTGTTTCATGTTTTTACTATTTATCATCAAAAGATTGTATGCTGCTTGCTGTTAGAAATCACATAACATGCTTTGCTCAGGTCCTTGCTGTACTAAGTCTACAGTGTAGATGCAGAAAAAGTGTTTCAGTAAATGTTGGGCTGATCAGGTGTAGCCACCTCTGATTTGCCTGTCCCATATTTCCAAAACCAGAGTGTGAGAGCACATCTGTGCTCTGTGAAGTAAGCGCTCTTTCTCATTTGTCAAAGGTTGGTCAGGAATCGAATGCAGAGGGAATTAAAGGTTATTTCCCAATTTCACTGAATTTGTTTCACATGCATAGAGGTATGAATGCCACACAGAATCAGCTAATCCTGGAAGACTGACTACATTGTAACTATCCAAGACCAAGAACATTTCAGCACAGACCAACAGAACCTGCAATGACTTCTCATCAATCTAGGAATAGCCTTGTACTTCTTTCAACGTTGAGCTCACAGGGCCCCTGCCTCCTTCTCCAGCCTCATTTCCCACCACTGGTCTCCAGCTCGCAGGGCTACAGCCATCCCTTTCTCCTTTCACGTCCTCAGAGATGCTCAGAGTATTGCCCCCAAACCAGCTGCATCTGTATCTCCTGGGAGCTTGTGAGAAAAGCACACTTTCAGCCCCCACCCAGACCTACTGAGTGACAGCAGGGTTCAGGAATCTGAGTTGTGGCAAGCCCTCCAGGTGATTCTGACATCTGTTCACGTCCATGGACCATGGATCTAACACTTCAAGCCCACCCCTATCTTCATGTTCCTTTGCTCCTGCTGGACCCATGGCTTGAGATGTTCTTTCTCCAGATTTCCAAATGACTGGTTCACTCTTATTCTTCAAGTTTCAGCTCAAAATGAGCTTTCTCCAAACCATCCTATTTAAGGAAGCATTACATTTTACTCTTCATCATATCTTCCTGTTGATTTAACTCATAACAATTACATGACCTGTTATTAAATTGTTTAAGTTCTCGTCAACCTGGGACTAATCTTGTACCTCCTTTCAAGGTTGAGCTCACAGGGTCGCCAATTTTTAAACTGACAATTAATAACTATATATATTTATGGGGTACAATGTGATGTTCTGATATGTTTATAATGTGGGATGATTAAATCAGGTTAATTAACAAAGCCAGCTCCATACATATTTATCATTTTTTGTGGCGAAAACATTTAAAATCATTGTATACTTTAAAATTGCTAAAAGAGTAGATTTTCAATGTTTTCATCGCAAAAAGTCACCATTCTATGCAATAGATCACTAAAGCTTATTCCTCCCATTTAATTGAAAATTGTGGGTTTGTTTTATTTTTTAAATATATAATTTTTTATTCTTTTTTTCTTAATTTTTTTTGAGACAGAGTCTCACTCTGTTGCCTGAGCTAGAGTGCCATGGCATCAGCCTAGCTCACAGCAACCTCAAACTCCTGGTCTCAAGCGATCCTTCTGCCTCAGCCTCCCAAGTAGCTGAGACTACAGGCGTGCACCACCACACCTGGCTAATTGTTTCTATTTTTCAGTTGTCTCAGTAATTTATTTCTATTTTTAAGTAGAGACAGGGGGGTCTCACTCTTGCTGAGGCTGGTCTCGAACTCCTGACCTCAAGAGATCCTCCTGGCTGGGCCTCCCAGAATACTAGGGTTACAGGCGTGAGCCACCATGCCCAGCTTCATTGAAACTTTGTACCCATTGATCAACATCTCCCCTTCCCATCTACACTGCTTCCCAGCCTCTTGTAATCATCATTCTACTCTCTGCTTCTATGAGTTCAACTTTTTCAGATTCCACAAACGAGTGAGATCATGCAGTATTTGTCTTTCTGTGCCTGGCTTATTTTATTTCACTTAGCATAGTATGCTCCAGGTTCATTCATGTTGTTGCAAATGACAGGGTTTCCCACTTGGCAAAGGCAGAATAGTATTCCATTGTGTATATATAGCACATTTTCTTTATCTATTCATCTAATGAAGGACACACAGGTTGCTTCCAATTCTTAGCTACTGTGAACAAAGCTACAATGAACATAGGAGTACAGTTATCCCTTTGGCATTCTGCTTTCAATTCTTTTGAATATATATATACAGAATTGGGATTGCTGGATCATATGGCAATTCTATTTTTAGTTTTCTGAGGAAACTTCATACTGTTTTCCATAATGGCTGAACTAATTTATGTTCCCACCAACAGTGCACAAGGGTTCCCTTTTCTCCACACCCTCACTAACACTTGCTACCTTTTGTCTTTCTGATAACTGTTCTAACAGGTGTGAGGTGGTATCTCACTGTGGTTTTAATTTGCAGTTATCTGATAATTAGAGATAATGAGCTTTTTATATATCTGTTGGTAATTTATACATGTCTTCTTTTGAGAAGTGTCTATTTCGGTCCTTTACCCATTTTCTGATTGGGTTATTTGTTTCCTTGCTATTGAGTTGAATTTCTTATATATTTTGGATAATAGCCCCTTATCAGATGTATGATTTGCAAATATTTTCTCCTAATCATGGATTATCTCTTCACTCTGTCGTTTCCTTTGCTGTGCAGAAGCTTCTTCATTTGATGCAATCCCGTTTGTTTATTTTTGCTTTTGTCGTCTGTGCTTTTGAAGTCACATCCAAGAAATCTGGGCTGAGA